GATACTTTACAAACAGCATTATATTTCTATCCAAACTATATTTGCAAACAATGTACAGAATGCTCTTTGAACTTCAGCTGTATACAAAACAAATATATATTGGAAATTACAGCTAGCATTGCAACCAAATTTTTGAAAGAACTGTTTATACAAACTTATCCAAAAGACTCAATCTACATTCTAATCTATTAGACTTACTTTACTCAATTGTATTAAGACACCCTATTACAATATTCACACCTTCTACAATTACAATTCACAATAACCCAATACTTGAAATATTAACAATAATTATTTTATATAAACATTGAAACAAATTGCACAACATAATATCAACTATTCACAACTAACCTTCTATACTAATAGATCAGTAATATATATTACATCTAAACAATATAAATGAGAATTGGTAGGATTCAAGTTCAAAATGATACAATTATACAAAGCTACTCAGTAGAAATTAAGCTTTGGCTTTCCTTATACAAAGCTGAACTTATTGCTATATTATCTGCAATTAGTACCTGTTCTAAATCTAGTCAGGTTACAATCTTTACAGACTCTTAATTTATAATATCTGAATATAACAACCTTCTAAAATTACTACCAACATCAAATAAATAATATTCTTATAATTATTGATCAATATAGTACACTATACTAAATCTAATCAAAACTTACCAAATTGAAGTCAACTTTTAAAAAGTAGTTGCACATAGCAACAACATCTTTAACAATATAGCAGATGAATTAGCAAAAAACCAAAACTATTTACACATATTAGAATTTACACATAACAATATATATAATCTATCATACTATTTACAATACAACAATCTTACCAATAAGAAGACCTATCAAAACATTTGTAATGCCTAAAACATTGCAATGTAATCATTATAACATTGTATAAAAAACATTATACTAATAGTTATATAAATTAACTGAAGTGCAACATGGTCTTATCTCAATAATTATAATAAAAAATCATTACTATATACAAACTTTAACTATGTCAAAACAAAGCTTTTAAAATTAAAATAATGCTTAATATACTACCAACACTATCTCATCTCTATTTGTTATATCCAACAATGTTTATTAATAATAATGATATCTCTTATAATATATATGAAGGACTATAGAATTGGTTACATTGTTCTAATACACCAAACTTAAGTTCTACAATTAACAACACTATACAACAATTTTTTAATTCTAGTAAACTAGAAATCACAAATATTGAACTACAAGAACTATATAACAAACTGTTTAGTCATCAATATCTAACTTCTAATAACTATATTCTGAATAACACAAATATTTATATAAGTTTTGGTTCTTAACTATTTATTTAAACAATCTGAGAATATACAGATTCTAACCAAATTGTAACCAATATCACTACTAAATTTTTAATAAATTTATCAGATTATATATACAACCAAATATAAAAATTATACTATACAAAACTAGTTAATTAAAAACATCAACACAATATACCTACTTTATTTGCATACACTCAAACAAATACATATAATAATTCAAAAAAACAAAATGCATATACTATCCTAGATTACTATATACTTACAACTGTATTTGTGATTTAGCAGACTAACAACATATAGAAGATGAACACAATATTTGTCTATTTATAAGAATGATAAAAAGGAAAACATCTATTTAAATATCTGAATAGATTAAATATAATATTTTAACTAATAATATAATTAATTATTAAGTTAGTAATACTTTAACTAACAAAATTTAGATAAGATTTAATTACTTTAGTAGATTTAGATTGCAGATAAATTAGATTAAACTAGGTAGTTTTAGTATATCTATAGTTTGAGTTTCATTTTTATAAACAATTTGTAAACTTGGCTTTTGGTTAAAGAAACTCCTTGTGAATTCTTAATACAAATTATAATAAAAATAAAGGCAAAACCTTATTATAAAAAAAATAAAAATAAAGTACTTATATAATCTAAATTAAACTCATCTAGATTTGCATAAATATAGCAAATCTAGGTAAGCTTTAACTACTCCAATTGATTTAGATTACAAATAAAATAGTTTGAGCTTTAATTCTTGCATATTATTTTTATTTTATATTATGCAATCTTAGTATATTTTAATATGTAATATATTAATATGTATATACAACAAAAATTATAAATAAAGATATAAGCAAGGTTTCACTTTAATACCAAAAAAAAAATATTAATTAAAAATTATTTATATATTTTAAAATTATATTTTATATTTTTATTAAATAATACAATTATCTCTCTATATAATTATACAGTTAAACATATCCTAATATGATAATAGTATATAAGTATACCTAAATAAAAGTACCTCTATATAATTACATTATATAAAATTTATAAATATATATAATTATATAAAGATAAAGTACAATAAAAATTAATTTAAAAATTTTATATATAATTATAAATAATTTCTATATAGATAAGTCAAATATTTACTAAATAAATTGACCTTTATGCAATAAATAAAGTTGTTCAGAACACTTCTTTATTTTATTTTTTTATAAAAAAAAATTTGAAATGTTTAATTTTATTTATATATATATAAAATAAAAAAATATACTAATAAAAGGTCAACCAATTTATATAAAAACTTTATATTATATGTATTTTATTTTTTTAAATAATTTAACTTAGTGCATAAAGATTTATTTAATTAATAAATATTTGACTTATCTATACAGAAACTATTTATAATTATATATAGATATGATTATAAAGAGGTAGGTTTATTATCAAAATCATTCAACTAATTCTAAAAAAAATGAGATAGTAATTATAATTTATTTGTGATTATAAAAAGAAGTTTTTAATAATAAAATAATTGGTAACATAAAATTGTATGATTATATAGAGTTTGTGATTGTATAGAAGGTGACTATATAGAAGTACAACTGTATATTAAAAATATTTAATCAAAATAATAAAATATTTTTATAAAATATATTAAATGTTATTAAATAATATAATTTATAATTTTGTAAAAATATATTAATATATTAATTAATATTATTTAATATTTAATTTTTAGACCAGTGTCTGGTCCTCAATTTATGACTGAAAACCAGTTGTACTGGTGCAAATAACTGGTTCGGACCATGGTCTTTGCAAAACCGTAACATCCATATACATCGCATGCCTAATAGTGCACAACCTATGTATTTACTAAATGCAATACCGATACTCACATCTTATGTTCCTTATTTATAAAGTAAGACTTGAACTTTCTAATTTTTTTTACTGGATTCGTATTCGTGACATCAGATGCATCCATGGATTTACTTATTGTGCCGGTAATACAACCCAGAAAAGGAAATTTAAATCTAAGGCCAAAACGTTGACATTAGAAACTATAGCCACAGATCTATTATATTAAATTTTGTTACGACATTTTTGATTAGTGCGCCAAGGCCGATTTAAACAATAGTTTTTTTGAGTATTTTCGCCTTTTCTTCTTTTACATGTGTTCGGAATTCATATTGGAACGATCAACATTGATTGGCTAATTCCTTTTTAAGAGTTTGTATTACCGACACAAATGAGTAAAGCCCTGGATCTTTTCTCGTTAGACTTTAATATGATATTCAAAATCAACCAATCATAATAAAGCCCGCTATGCTGGGGTATCAATAAGGATTGTGTAAAATTAAGAATACTTTTAATTAGGCAACATAAAATTTCTTTGCATTTGATTTTTTTTTTGACGATCTTTTCTTTTTACGTTACTGTTACAAAGCAAATTTATTATGTATGTATTAGTATCGTTTAAAGCCTATACATTATCTAAAGAATCTATTTCTAGACTTTCTAGTCTTCACATAGCAGCTTGCGTAATTTCAGTCGAAAACTCGAATCATCTGATATTATTAATTTTAGGATTTTGATGGGGAAAATGTGTATTTGGAATTATATGTATGAATGGTATCGATATTCTGAGTCATCTAAGTCAATTCTAAATTGACCTATGACATTCTTACTTTCTCAATTGATAAATTTTTAAAAATTTAAACTTATATGCCCAAGCGACAAATTATATAACCCAATCAATAAATTATATAACCAAAGCAATAATATATTAGTAAAAAATGCTTTAATGCTTCAAATAAAAAACAATGTAAAAATGCACGTGAAAAAACATATAAAAAATTTTCACATAATGTAAACTTAAGAAAGATTAACATTGATTTAAAAGTTTTCGACGGGACAAACTTGCGTCCCAAAGTTGTTTAATCGTATAAAGTTCTTCGATTACTGTATTTAAATTTTGGATTCTGTAAGTCGTTAGAATTTTTAACTATAGTTTATATTTATTTATCTGTAAACAGGATTGTTTTTCCTTTTATTAATAAAAGCTTTTAATATTCGATCAAATGTTTCACACGCCAAAAGGTCATAACTTTCTATTTTTAAAAATTAATAAGAAGTTGTATTTATCGATAAAGTTAAACATTCGAAAGTTTTATATATTTATTAAAAATTTTTTTTTTTGCATTAATTAATTTGACGATCCGGGTATTTGGTGTGACAAATAAGCACTGACTAATTTATTTACTGTATATAAAATATTTAGTGCTACCGATGATTGGTCACACTCGATCCTTAAATTACGTGATGTTGTACCGCCGTTGGTGTGCAAATAATTAATTGCGTGACAAATAAGCACCAACTGATTTATTTATAGTTGATACATATTTGTCACTCAATAATTAGTCACAACCTGATCCTTAAATTTCGTAGCGTTTCATTAAAAATTGACCTGGGTCATTTCTGAATTGATGGAAATTTATGAATGACCTAACGGCACATCTATAATTATTTCACTTTTCCAAGACAAATCGTGATAGATTATGCATTTTATACAAAAAAAAAAAACTTTACCAGTTCATTTCTTGAAGAATCCTCTTATGAAGGAGGGGAATAAAATTTCTTCAAAGGTATTAAATGTGCTAAATGATACGTGATATTCCATGGTCAAAGGTCGTGTAACGTTCGAGGACCATATATAAAGTACTTTCAATTAACAGTTTTTTCAATAATTCTTTTAGGAGTTATTGAATAAGGAAGAGGCCAATGGAGGTTATATCGACAAAAGTCGTGAAACATTGAGGACAATAGTACAACGTCGGTATTTTAGTCAATGACTCCCAAGAAGTCATTGAACGAAGTGAAGTATCAAATGAGATATATCTTTAGAGTGTCACATTTAGGTAAATATAGAATTAAATATGTTATTAGTAAAGACAACGAAAACTTTGTATATGGTTAGGAACCACGAAACATTTGAGATATTTAGGACTATAATTTAAAAGTACGACGTTGTACTAAAACGCCCACAAAAAATATGATGCAATTAAGTTAGGATTTTTCTAAGCGATGCGTAATTATGTGTTCTTTGACTGTTTTGATTAGTGATGTACCATTTATATGATGCCCGAATTTTTTTCGCGTACAGTACGTGGCACATCACTAGTTTTGATTAAGTTGTAGGCAAATTCGAAATTTTGTTTGTCAGGCTAAACAGTTAATTTAGCAAATGTTTCAGAACTGAAATCAAATATTGAACAGCAGAAATTGGTTACCGGTTAGCAAGTAATATAAAACTAAGGAATTTCTCATATACGGATACAAAAAAATTTCACCAATTGAAGACTATAATTGGCATCTTTTTACTTATTAATTTTTTGCAAAATATAACTTTATTGAGACCTCATTGACGATCCTATGATTTTCAGCTAATCAGAATTATGCTAATTCCGGATTTAATTGGTAATTTAAAATTTATATAAATCAACAAACCATTTAATTTTATATATGTTTTGTAAGTTTGAACTTGCAGCAGATTTTTCTGAAATTTACATTGCGTTATAATAACAGCCTATTTAACATGTTAATTAGACTACGTGAGTTATGTATATCTCATCAATTAATACTGTAAAAACACTTATTAAAGGGATTTGGTTAAATATGTTGGGCCCTGTCTGGATATATCAAGTATGTAACAGTAATACAGTTTTTACAAAACATAACGATAAATATTTACGTAACCTAATAACCATGCATGCGTGTTTGTCACGAGCGATGCAGGTATTCCTATCCAAAGCATTTTTTGGAAACTCCTATATGTTATTAACGATAACAATATTTACAATATTTTTATATGGAATATAAAATTCTAGTATTATATTTATTTATTTATTTATTTATTTATTTATTTATTTATTTATTTTGTATAATGTCTAAAAGAGGTCAAAAATGTCTCATGAAAACACCTCCTCTCTGAGATATGACGACAAAAATTACAATCTTGACACATTTATAATAAAATTATAATTTTCGCATTTTCCGTCTGTAGCACTGAAAATTTTATCTATGAAGTGTAATTATCAAATTTCGGGGAAACGGTTTTATCTCCGAACTTATACCAGTTTCCGCTTGTTTAAATGTGTTGCAATGGCGAGTATAGTCTATTTTCAGAACTTATGCCCTAATGTCCTTTAAGATATAGATAATAAAAAATTAAATATATTTATAAAATGGATAATCCGCGGTTTTAATGTCGAAATATTAAAAAATAAATACTAGATTATCTTGTACATTATCAAATTTGTATTGACTAGTGCACTATCTAATTTTGGTTGACTAGTGCTCCATCTAATTTAGCTTTATAACGCTTTGTACAAATTTCTATATTACACTATTACATTATAACCTAGTTTTATACTGCGGTTTACATAATGGTATGATTTTGTATTTCGTACAAATCTGTTTTTTTTTTGTAGAAATGCAATATTTTTGATACAAACAATTATGTAAGTAGATCTGAGAACCTTATTAAGGTTCTTGATAATAAATGAATTATACTAAAGCCATCAAGGAATTTGTAGTTCTGTATAAATAGACTTGATTGCTAATTACAAATCACTAGATGATTCTATAACATCATCTAAATATTTAACTGCTGGTTCGTAAAAATTAAATAAAAAAATTCCTCCTTTTTGAAAAATTATTTTAACTATTTTTATTCTCAGCGTCTTATAAGACTTAACATGTTATTATCAAAATGTTTCGTAATGTCTATATTATCGAATTTGATATTCGAAACTTTGACGAAAGCAAACGCTCTGCACTCTGATCATAATGAGAACAAAATTGATCTTTATGAGAGTAAAATCAACTTTATTCTACTGTTACATATTTCTTCAAATTATTGTACTCATATTTAAGAATTTTATTTGCGAATTTTAATAGGTGATCAGGCTGGATTCTTAAGTGTGGTCATTGTTGAAAACACATTCATATTCCTCTCCTTAATTGGAATATTTTTTGTGCTTGACAGAATCTATCATAGGTGGATAGATACTCGTAAATCTTTGTCAATGGCACTTAGAGTTCCATTTTATTTGTGTATATTTGGTAAGTTTTACTTGATTTTACTTAATATTTTTTATCACCGTATCCATTTCTCTTTAATTATCTTTTTTTTTTTTTTAATCAAATTTATAGATTTTCTTATTACTGTATTTCAAGCTTGTAGCTCTGTGAGTTATTTATCTTAAAATAAACTAATACCAAGATAAACTAAGGGAATAGTTTAAAGCTCGGTTCTATCACATGGCTCAAACCAATAATAATATCTATATCGATATATATATGTTGTGCGCAAAATTAATATCTCGTCAGATTATTATAATCTCAGTATTCAAGTTTAATCTGACGCAAATTTTGGCTTGACACACAACTTATATATGTTTATATATATTTATATAAACTAATTAAATAAAATAATAAGAATATCATGTAAACGCTCCTTGTTTTAGGCTTTCCCTATTTGCTACATTGTTTGTCAATTAACATTTTTGAATCTTATTTTTAATTTAATTAGATACATATTGCAATATATCACATAACTTTGCCTGAAATGACTTGTAGAGTTCTTATCTTAATATCAGGTGCTTTTGCAAGTTTTCATAGAACATTTATTGCTTCCGTTTCTGTTATTACTTATTTCAGGTAATGATAATGATAATAATCTGTTAATTTCATAAACCATTTCCTCATTTATTTATTGTATAATTTCAATATGATTAAGAGTCTGTAGAAACAAACGTATAGATACTGGTAGATATGATTGGAAATTACTTTTACCTATTGCTATCGCCTCGTTTGCTACGACAGGTCTTGGTTGGAAATCTTACGGTGCTGTTAAATATTGGTATAAATCATTATGTTTTTTTTTGTTTTTTAACCTTTTATAATATCATCAATATCAAAATTCTGGCTTTATAATAGGTGTGATTTAAAAACTGATAACCTAGGAATGTCAATATGCTCCGTATCAATAACATTATCAGTGCTCTTTATATGTTTATTCTGTTATCTTAAAACCATTTTTGCCATACGTAGTGTTAAAAGAAAACAATCATTATTTAACAATGATGTGATTTATAAAAATATCCCTCATTTTAATGAGATTGAAATTAAAGTTACTAAAAAGATTTTTGGTTATGTACTTGTATTTATATTACAGTGGGTAGGTATTTTTTTACTTATATAATCTTTTCTTCATTCTTTTTACAATAATAATATTATTTTTAGATACCTACTGTACCATATGAATTATGGCAAGTTTATAGTGATCCACCTGCTTGGATTTTTTGCATGGTTGCTGTGGGACTTAACATGGGTGTAAGTAATCGCTCTCATTATTAATTTATTCATGTACTCTATTTATTTTTATTGTTTTCTTGGTTTGATAGGGCATTGGAAATGCTATATTTTATGTAATAAATGAAGGTTGGAATCGTTGTGGCAATAACAGTAATAATTCTTCTGTTGGCAAAAGCACTGATAAAATTGTATCTAATTCAAAAGATGAAAATGGACTTAACAGAATTTCTTCTTCAATATTAATTAATAATCAAGATATTAATAATATTAGAATTCAAAATTATTCTGAGAATATTTCTTCTGAAGTTGATAAACAATTTATTGACGTGATCTTTTGATACCCTTGTTTGTTACTATAGAAATTGTTTCAAATAATTCAATTTTAGAACATTTTTTTTTCTAAATTTGTACAAATAATGGTCTAGTGCTGTGAAAACAACGTAAATTTGCTAAAAAAAATTTTAAATTATTTTTAAATGTTAAAAGCTATAATTGTTTAAAGGGAGTTAGAGATGAGTGCGATGTATTCGATTGTATCAGCATAATTACGGCATGATTTCTACCTGAATTTTGGCATGCGGCAATGCCTAAATCTAAAATTCATGCCGTAACTTATGGTCAATGACTAAAATCAAAAATTAATGTCATAAATGCCGAAAGTAATAAAATATAATATGTATGCCGAAAGCAATAAAGATAATTGATATATCATTGATTGCATTGATTGATTAGTAATATTATGTGATGTAATAAAAATAAAAAAAGTATATTTTATTTAAATAATGAAATAATTCGATTTATAAATTTTTATTATCTTCTTCATTTTATCACAAATTCGCAAGTTATGTCATCTAAAAATACGGCTGGACGATTACCAAAAGAGGTGTGGAAATATATCCAAAAAGGAAATCTCAAAGTTCGTGGACATTATAGTGTAAATTGCATATGTGGTCAATCTTGGACACGTGGAAAGCCAAAAGATTTAGAAGATCATTTAGCAATTTGATTGTATAGCAGCCGGTAGTGATGTTGAACAAAAATTTCTTAGAATTGTATCTGCAAGAAATCATCCAAGAGAAAATGAAACTGAATCAGATTTTCTAGTATTTAAAAAGGTTCACACAAATGAACCTCAAGAATCATATTATCAATCTGAAATTTTTTCATCTTGATGAAAAAAGAATGTGACAGTATTTTTAAAAATTTTATTTGTTATAGAATACTCTTTTCAGTTGTTGGACATTCTTTTTTTTTAGAATTTATAAAATGTTTAAATAAAGTTTATGACCATCAAAACAAACATATTTATCAACAACTTTATTGAAAAGTGAAGTTGCAAATATTATTGTAAAAATTGATACAGGTTGAACAAATAAATAAAAGGTGAATAATAGGTAAATAACAGAAAAAAAATCTGTCATTATTCTACCCTATATTTGCTAAATAATGGCAGCATAACAGCAGCATAACAGCAGAATAACAGTAAAATAACAGGAGGTTTGTCAATATAAGTAATATAATAGTAACATAATAGCAAAATAATAGAATAGTTCTATTATTTTACTTTTAGTCTTTGTAACTAAAAGCAAAATAATAAAACTGTTCTATTATTTTGCTATTATGTTACTATTATGTTACTTATATCAACAAATCTTCTGTTATTTTACTGTTATTCTACTGCTATGCTGCTGTTATGTTACCATTATTTGGCAGATATAGGGTAGAATAATGGCAAATTTTTTTTCTGTTATTTACCTATTATTCATCCTTTATTTATTTGTTCAACCTGTATGAAAATAAAATAAAAAATAAAACAAATGTGATATTTAATAAATATATAATTTATTATTATATATTATAATATATAATATTTTTATATATTAATTATAATTATATTTATAAAAAAAAAAACTTTTTAGGGATATCAATCACCAACTCTCTCTGTAGATCACTAAAACCAACTTTTCTCTAACAAACAATTCATCTTTTCTCAATATTTTACTAAACTAACAACTCTTAAACTTCTAATTAAACTTTTTTCTTACAACTTTTTGTCCTAAAAACAATACAAATTTATTCTTACTTAACCTTTCAATACAAGAAACTTTTATATTTTAATAAAATTATTTTATTTATATTCTTTTTAAATTTTTTCAATCTATACTTAATTAAACTTTTTTATTTTCAAATAAACTAAGTATACTAAACTTTCTGTATCTAACTATACTATTTTATCAAATTCTAATTATTATATTATGTACCAACTAACACTTTCTAAAAAAACACATTGTCTTAATTTTTATCGAATTTTACTAAACAATCTTTTTACTTATTAAATAAAAATATCTAACTCATTGAGATGATTATTTCAATATAAATTTCATCTTTAACAGACCAAAACTCATTAAGTTATTAATATTCCTTTTCAAACTTTAATTTAAATTTCTTTCTAAAATTTTATTGATTAATTTTGAAAAATTTATAAGGGTATCTTGGAAATTTCACTTTTTATCAATCTTGAAAATATCTAAATACCTAATATTTTTTCAAATTCTCTCAAAAGAACCTGGAAAATTTACTACTAATTTCAAAAAACTCAATTTTCTTGTCTAATTCTTATTCTTTTCATCTACTTTTTTTTGTTACCTATAATATAAAATACTTTACTCATACTATAAACTACCTAAAAAACCTTTTCTATATCTCTGTTCCAAATTATTTATAACTTTAATTATCTTTTTATTATTATCGTTTATAATTCTAAAATGAATCTATAAATTACAATCTAATAAGATTATCTTTTAGACTAATTCAAAAGCTATCCTATTTTAGAAAACTTTTTTTTATCTATATTTATGACATCTAGAATTTAAACATTAGATTTCTTAAAACCAATTCTTAAAGATTTCTATCTTAGTTCAATTATTAATTTTAAAACAATTAACAAACCAGCTGTAAAAAATAATTTTAGCTTATTAATTCAAATTATAACAATTAAAAAATCCAAATTTATTATAGACATTATCCTAAACAAAAATCTACATATTACTGAAGCAACCAAAATACCTTTCAAAATTCTCTTCAGTACAACAAAAAACTGACTTATCAAATTTACTTATACTCTTTTTTATAAAACAAATTACAAATAACTTTTAAACTCACACTATTTTATTCCTTCTTATTCAATTAAAAAATGATTTCAAATTGCTATAACTTTGTCAGACTTTACCTATACCTATATAACAAATACCAAACTATTGATTATCAAAAATTCTTTCATGGCTTACAACTTAAATCCATTTATTTAAAAACTTATATATATATAAACCATATTTTAAATACTTCGAAAAGCAATACTTCTATGTTACAAATTCATAATACCTCTAAATTCTATATTAGTATTACTATAAATATTTTCTTCCAAGAATTTAATACAAACTACTGTATTTCACCTTTTTACTTAATCAAACCACAATTTGATAACTGGTTTTAAAAATTTTTTACATATTACAAAAAACAATTTAATTATATTAACAAACAAAAAGTCTACAATTATATTAAATACCAAATAATAACAGCAACTAATAATGAATACAAAAAGCTTATTCTTAAAAATCTAAATTACCAACCATCTAATCCATTCAAGATTGAACAAACTATGCTACTAAAACAGTAATAGACCATATATATACTTGTACCAATCTTGAAAAATATAAAATTCTTAATTCAAAAACAACTTATAATATCTACAATCTACTTTAAACAATCTTTTAATATTATACCTATTCAACAATATATATATCTATCTTTAAACCCTTCTACTTTTATCTCAGAAACATTCTATATACCTTTATCTTTTAAAGAACTTTATAAACTAACTGACCAATCTGAACAAACTTTTATTCAACTAAACAATACATCTAATAATCCTAAACATATATCTTATTTCTTTTACTACTATCTTAAAACTTATTTTAAAACTGCAATAACAAATAATAAAATTATTAATTTCAACCTCCAAGAAGCATTAAACAAAATCTTTTCTTAAACAAGCAATTCACAAATTCTAGCTAGGATCATTACTTATTATAACATCACTCAAATCTCTAAACCAACTATTATTCAACTTAAAAAAAATCTTAACAAGTCATACTTCAATTAAGCAAATGAATACATTATCAAAAAACTCAATATTGCTATACCTACAGTATCAGAAACTGACTTTATTTACACTTTTAATGTATCTAGAATCATTGATAAACTCAATAATAGCTTTTTCTTCTAGCAATATTTATATATTTCTGTTAACTTTTCTTTATCTATTTATCTATTCAATCTATATTTTTATTTTAGCTACATTCTTACAATTCTGTTAACTTTTATTATCTATTTGCTTATTCAATTGACACTACCTTTTTTTTTAATTATACTTTATTTCTTATTTAATTTATTATATATTTGTTTTCTTTTCTTTATAATGATGTAATTAACTTTTGATAATGTAAATAGTTAGTGAAATCTATAAGTAGCTTACTAGTGTATACTAGAATAATGAACATTATTTAGAAAATTTCAACTAATCTAGGTGAGCCTTAGTCATTCTAGTAGGTTTAAGCTGCAGATAAATATGTCTGAGCTCTTACTCTTTCATGTAGCATTTATATTACTTAGAGTTATAGTTTTATAGTTAGTGGTTTAATAATTAGTTCTAATCACAAGTGTTGGTTTTAGCTATAGCATATATGACTTTTTTTTGTATTCAGTAACTTCATGTAGTTACTACCTAATAACTACAAATAAAAATAGAAGCAAGGCTTTATCTTAATACCAAAAAAAAAAAACTTTTTTGGAACTCTTTCTGCAGATTATTTTAGCAAATTCTTGTTAAAAATATTTGAATTTTTCTCAATAATTTACTAAGCAATTCTTACTTATACTCTTAAGTAAAGTAGTTTAGTTCACTTTTTTTATCCTAGTCAATTAGGTTTTAAACCTAAATACATTCTGGCTACAGAGAAAGGTTCTAAAACTAAATTATTAGTTTTTGTTTTTTTTCTATAAATTATATTAATTAAATATATTTTATTACTTATTAAAAAAATATTTAATTCTTCAAGACAATTATTTTGATATATATTTCATTACAAACAGACTGGAACTTATTAAAATACATACAAAAAGGCAAAAACTAAACTTATCTTTACAGATTTTTTTATAACAATTTTGAGAAAATCTATTGGATTGTTCTGAAAAATTTACTTTTTTGGTATCTATTAAAATTTCCTAAATATTTAGCTTACTTTTACATTTGTCCTACATTTTTCAAAATTTTTCTAAATAACCTAAAAGCATCTATAATTAAAAAAAATTTTCTAAATCTAGTAATTTTAAAATAGTTTGTATTATTTTAAATTTATAATTATAACTTAGTTATTTCAGTTTATTTAATATTTTTATTTTTAGTAGTATAGTACCTGACACTTTAGATTTTGATTATTTTTTTGAAAACTATACTACTTTTTATAATACTGCAATTTATAAAAAAGGACCAGAAAATATTAGAGTCATTTTTAACAAATACAAGTCAACTAAATGTGATACTATAGAATTAAGAATTTATCTACTTACATATTTCTTTTCAATTTCTTCAACAACTACAAACATTAAATATATATATAGATTATTTCATATTCAATTTATCTTAGCAAATAACAAAATATATGAAATTATCATTACAATTGAACTAATAACAACTAACTCATAAATTAAAAAACTTTAATAAACACTTCACAAATCTACACCAAATGTCCTACCATCTTTTTTATTAATTACTTATACATATACTTACCTCAAGTATCAAATTCCAATTAATTACAAAAATACCAATAACAATTATGCTTATAAAATAAAACTATATTTTATAAAATAAAGTATATTACAATAACTGTCTTGCTAAAATCTATAAACAAACCAAATTAACCAATCAACCATTATCAGTTCTGAACAAAACTTCTTTTTATAATACAAGTTTATAACTTAATATTTTATTTAATTCTTGAATGATTATTACTTAAATAATTCTCTTACTTCTAAGTTTATATTCTCTTTAATAATTTCTGCAGAAATAACTAATACTAATAATAATATAAATATTGACAATTTTAATTTATTA